GAAAAGGAAGCTTAATTATTATTACTAGAGTTCAATAATTATAGAGGATTTTCATTTCACAGCGTCGGAAAAATATGATATCCATGATTCTAAAAAGGATTACATACAAATTATACAAAGCCAATTTGGTTTACAGTTTACAGTTTACAGAACGCAACACACAAGAGTTTGTGAGTTGTGATTACAAAACCCAAAATTTTGAGTTTTTTTCATTCTTCCTATTTACATTTTACACAGGAAATATGGAAAATAGTAAAATCCCAAAAGGGGGAGAAAAATTCACTCCCTCTCTTCTGCGACTCTCTCCCTCTATTTCTCTCTATCTTCATCTTCTTCAATGGCGCGACGTCGGGCTTCTCACCGCGCCCAGGTTTTCCACGTACGAACCCGTATTGTTCGTCACTATATTCCCAAGCTTCTGCTTCGCGTCTGCATCGGCGGATAGCTCATCTGAATTCCCGAACGAATCCTTCTTCGCCTCCGCCTCATTCTGATCCTGACCCCAACCCATGAAATCCAGCAGTGTCATCGAACCCGCCGCCTCTGTGGCCGGGTTTCCCTCTTCTATTGGCTGCGGCGACTTTGGAGTTTCGTTCCCTGGCTTCTTCTTTGGTGTGCTCTGTGGCGGATTCTGAGTTAGGTAATCGGCGTGGAGTACGTCTTCAATGCGGGACATCACTGTGAACGCCAAACTTTCCAGTATTCTGGAGTAACTCTCCAAGATGGCGTGCCCCACATCCTGCACTACCAAACAGTAACTCCTCACTCCTGATTAATCTTTAAAATGCATCACTGATGGAACTAGGGATTTAGAATAATTTTGTTCTGTATACTGTGATGTTTGCTGCACATTGTTGTCTTATACTGGCAAATAAATGGACACAATATTGATTGTGTTGGATAAAAACATATATGAAATCAATTATGAGATGTTAGGCACAGTGTTGGTAAGCTGGCTCTGTGAAACTTAGAGTTAGATGCTTTTTGGTTTGTATAATGTGTGTTTTGATTGTAAAAAGAAATAAGTTATAGAATTCTAAGTTTTCTTTTCTTTTTCTGATATTCGTGAGCGTCTGGTCCAACTTAAAAAATAAATTTGTTAAGATATTAAATCTTAGTCGGTGGACATTATAGTTTTAACCTATTCCCTCTATAAGTGCTTTAGTTTTTTAATTGGCCATAATGACTGCTAGGGCTTGGCCTTTATTTTTATATATTTCTTCTATTCACTTTGTTTACCTTTAAACTTCATTTTTATATATTGACCATTTCAGATGAGATTATATAGGAGGAGATTCTTTTACCCCATTGTACTGAATTTTGCTGATGTCTAGTGAAGATTGTGGGATCCCAGGGAAGCGGTGCTTAAGGATGAGCAAGATGGTCTCTGCTCTCTCTTCAAAAAGTTCTCTCTTTTCCAAGCTCACTGCTGAACCCCAACTAGATTTTCCATCTTTCTGGTTCATCTTCCTCCTCCAAATCACGATGGAAGCTTCAATTCTGTTCTTGAGATCTAGTATTTTATGCTCTGATGATAGGTCCATGCTGGAGAGAAACTGATCAGGATCAAAGAACTCAACTGTTATATTTCTGTAGATGGAATCCCCTAGGCTTGCCCTTCCATTCTGTAAAACCATGAACAAAACTAAATTTCAGTTTATGATTCGTTTTGAAAGTCCTTACTGAAACATCCTCGGTTTCACTTACTTTAGGTAGAGATTCAATGTAGTTCTCAGGGATCTCCATTTCTGATATGATTTGAGCATTTATAGCCTGGGCTGCTTTTAGGACCTGGTTGACACAATCCTTCTGGTGCTGCATAAACTTTCTAGACGCTTCTGATAAACCATTTGGAGGAACTTTGGGTGTAGGTAGCCACCATTTATCATCTTTCCTCTTGTTATTTCCTTTCTCCGATTCATCGGCATCTCTTGATATATAAGTGAACTCGTTTTGGTCTTTGAAGTTATCTAGACACCCCTGTGTTTTGTCATGACAAATCCAACATCACAAAGCCTTTATTTGACTGAAGTGGAAAAAACAAAACAACAATAACAATAACAAAAAACACAGAAAATTTAAGCCGTATTTCTTACAATTAACATGGCATCAAGCTTCTTCAGAGCCGGGATATTCAAGTGCAAATCATTTCGTTGCCGGGTCACCATTATCTATAACAGCAATGAGCTTCATTATTTGTAAGATAGAACAAGAGGGGCAGCCCGTTCAGGACGGGGTGCTAAAAGAATGAACTAAAATGATTAAATTTACCCTAATCTAAACGTTAAGCTTGTGAGATTCGAACAACGAGGTTGAAATTTAATGGTTACCTCCATATTCGTTCCATCCTTGGATTTCTGCTGTGATGGAACAAACTCCACAATGTAATCTGTAACAGATAAGAGCAAGTCGATTTCCTTTCTCCATCTCGCTTTTCTTCCTGCTGACATTGGCTCGAGACGCCATTGTTCTCCAAAGACAGAAGCTGCAAAGTCGACAGAATTCTAGATGCTAACAGACAAATTTCTCTAGTACCATGTAAGAAAATTCTAGGCACATACCAGCAAGGTTTGTGATTGCATTAGACAATGCCAAGGCTGAGGAAACACCCTTCCCTCCCCCAGACATGTCTTCCCCCAGTAGCAACTTTGCAAACCTCTCTTTTATTTGTACCATTTCTGAATTATAACCCAATTGGAATAGGGTTATTTGCAGAATCTAACAGAAGTTTCCATCCAGAAGAAAAAAATGAAGGGAGGAGGTTTAAGTTCTATTTTGGTACTTGCACTTTCAAGATTATTACGGTACAACTTTTAGATTTATTCCATTTTAGTCCATAAATTTGTAAAAGGTTTATTTTAGTCCCTGAAGTTTAACAAAGAAACTGTTTTAGTCCTTACGTTTATTGTTATCGTAACAAATGAATAATGTGGGTTTTTGCTAATGATAAATTTTTGAAATCTTAGGGACTAAAACAGGCCTTTTGAATGTCCAAGAATCAAAATAGAGCCAATCTGAAAGTTCTAAGTACCAAACTCGGGTTTAAACCACAAAAATAATGAAGAAGAAGTTGACAAACCTGCGGTCATCGTATTGTTTGCTTCCTTGTTAGTGGCAACTTCGTCTCCCTTCCTGCTTGCCTTCGGCTTTGGAGCCTTCTCAGGTTGAATCTGTGGGGGCGGCGGAGGCGGTGGGGACTCAACAACATGCTGTTTCTCAGCGGAGCTGTTGTGCACCGGCGTTGATCCCTGACTTCTCGACGCAAAATCATCGTCGACTACAGAGTCCACCAAAATACTGGCGCTCTCCACGCTCAAGCTCTTGGCATGTCTGCCCGTATTCTCATGATTCCCTCTGAAATGATGAAGGAATCTGGCCCTGAAACCTTCGTGCTCCTGCTCCATCGCACGAACCATCTTCAGTTTCTTGACGAAACGTTTGATCGAGCACACAAGGGGCCACAAAACGGCAACTTGGGGGTTTCAGTGAGCATAGAGAGAAAATGAAAGAGAATTAAGAAGAAAGGAGGAAGAGATGAGGTATTTGTTTTTGGTTTTTGCTTCTCTTTACCTCCTGGAAAGTTTTGTTTTCTTGGTTTGCTCTTCTTTTTCTTGAGAAGTTGGTTGATGCATCTTAAGAGAATGTGGTTAGAGGAAGAAAGAAAGAAATGTATGTGTTCAGCTTAAGAGTTTTTTGCTTTGTTTTTTGTCTTCGCGAGAAAGCTCTCAGAATTGGATGGTTTAGGTGAAAATTTTCAATTTTCTGAGTCAAACTTTTCTAAAAAAATGGAAAGACGTCCATGCTTCCTTCATTCATACCCATCATCTCTCCCCTCTAAAATGGACCACTTGAAGACGACTGGTGAATATTTTTTCAATTTTTTACTCCATTTTCTTGCCTTTTTCCTTATTTGTATTTGTTGATCATTAGTTAATTTTAATTTATTTTACTCCCTCAACTTTTGAATAAGTTTATTTTTTTAAAATGTCTATGCTATCATCTTTAAACTTTAAAAAAAAATCACCCTTTGGATTCATACAGATATATGTTTTGCAGAATTATTTTCAAAAACTGTTGTCGAAAACAACATTTTTCCGTATTTTCATATTTTTAATTTGAAATTTTAAAATACAGAATTACATTACTTTGATGAATACAATATTTTATGTTATAAATTCATTTCATTTTTATAATTAAAATATGTGAAACATAACATATTAAAAATTATATGATAATTACACCAAATTTATAACATGTATGTTAATAAATTAGTAATAATATTTTAGATTGAACTAAATATTTAGTTGGTAATTATACCATACAAATATATTATTAAACAAACATTAGATGATTTTTATATTGAAATTCAATTTTCAAAATTTATTACCAAACACTCATTCAAAAACACTGATAACATGAAATAGAATCCATTTTAGGTTAAAAAACATTGTTAGTCCCTGTTACTTTAAAGTAACAATTTAGTCCTTAAACTTTAATTTGTAACGATTTAGTCTCTGTACTTTTAAATTGATACCAGTTTAGTCTTTGAAAATTCTTGTAATTTAAAGTTGGTAACGATTTAGTCCTTATCGTAATTTTTTTTTTTATTAAGTTTCTTGCATGTATAGATTGATAAACTAAAGAGGGACCAAATATGTTTATGAATTAGAAAGATTAAATTGTTATATAATAAAATTTGACACTTAATTTTAATAAAAAAATTTTACGATAGGGACTAAATTGTTACAAATTTTAAAGTACAGAGATTAAATCGTTATAAGTTAAGGTTGAAAGACTAAATTGTTACTCTAGGGAAAGTACAGAGACAAATGTATTTTTTAACCTCAATTTGGTTCCATTATAAGCTAATAGATTAAACAAAAACGACGTGGTTTTCAGACCTACTTTAATTATTGTTTTATTTTACTCATTTATTTGTTTATTAGTGTTTTTGGTGGTTGATTTTGGCAGCTATGTATTATAGGCTTTTTTCTCTGTCTGTATCTGTTATTCCTGTCCCACCATTTTAAGATTATACACAATAATGAAAAATGTGATGTTTGATAACATAATGACGGTGTGGAATCCAATATTATATTTCTTTTTTCATATAAGTTAATCAATTATATTGTATGAAATTAAATTTAGTTTATTAGTAATATTTTGCTTAATAATTTACGTCATACTAGAGATTGCTCTTTTAAATTATGATAATCACATAGGCTTTCTTCCCCCTTTCTTAAATAAATTTTCCTCCAAATGAACCAATCAATTTTTTCATTATTATTTTTTGTATATAAGTGAATAAAATTAAAAAAAAAAAATTCTGAACTCTAAAGGAGCTATTTTTCATTCAGATTTATGAGGCTAAATTAAGTGTATTAAATGAATAGAATTGAATGGTGTTGACTGAAAGTCCAAGTTGAAATAAAGGGCTTTGGCTTTAGCTCTCAACCAACAAAGCCTAGACTAAGTAAGTTGTGCTAGATTGAGAAATTAAATTATTTATTTGCAAAATTTTTATCTACACTAAAGAATTATTACCATACTTTTACAACTTTCATCTTTTTCTATATATTTTGATTTATTTTTACTAATAATTTCTCTCATTCGTGAACAATATCAATTTTGTGAAGGAAAATTAACATTTTTTTTAAAGAAAATATGTTACTTTTAGTTTTAGCATTACTAAATTAATATAAGTGTTTTTATTTTTAAATAATGTTGAGATAAAAATGAGTAATAACCAAGATTTCAAAGGAGAATAGTGATGGAAATGTTATCGAATAAAATATTGTTAAGATGGTGATGAAGATGGACATTTATGTGAAACTTAGAGAAATTAAAAATGTAAAAAAGTTATTTGAGTTAAAAGAATCTACATTTTTCTATTTCTAAATAAGTTAAAATGATTAATATTAATATTACATATATATTAGGGATATTTGTTAATATTTTACATGTTTTGTCAATTTTATTTTTTGTACTACAATGGAAATGTCGATTGTCGATTGATCTTTTATGTCTATGTCGAACCTGTGAATTCATGGACATGATACAAATGTCAACGTGTCGATGAATATTTAATACTATGGTAATAACATCCCACTAAAGTATCAAGAGTAAAATGTACGTGGATAATGAATATAATGTTCTTAAGGTTAAATTGTAAGTTTATTCTGTCAATTTTGAGAATTGCTTTAAAGAGTGTCACATAGTTTTTTAAACTTCCAAGTTTTCACTGTTATATTTAATAAATCTAACTTTAAAAGGTATCTAATAAATCTCTAACATTTAAATTTTGTATCTAATAAGTATTAGAAATCAATTTTGTGGCTAATAAATCTTTCAAGTTAAATGAGAAATTTTAAAAAATTCAATCAATTATTAAACACGACATAAAAGTTTAAGAATCTAGACTGGACTTGTAATTTAATCGATAGATTAATATAGCAAGAGATGGAAATATATAATTAAATATATTAATTTTACAGTCTTTTTATTCCTTTTCGTCCAACGGAAAAAACGGTACTTGCATTTTCTTTTTAGAAATGGAATTCTTTAACAGACGTCGTCGTTTTAATATTTAGCCGATAATCGCATCGATTAATTATATTAATTTCCCTCGTCTTTTCTGTACCTACGCGAAACCTGTGTTCTTCCGGTGATCTCCACGTTCACCATCTTCATTAGACAGCGCCCAAATCCAAAACCCTCGTCTCAATTTCCAATTATGGAGTCCATTGGGGTTCTGCTGGCTTGCCCGATGAACACTTATCTCGAGCAGGAGCTCGATAAGCGCTTCAATCTTTTCAAGTTCTGGCAGTATCCACAAAGGTCGCAATTCCTCGCGGAGCACTGCAATTCGATTCGCGCTGTAGTTGGAAATGCATCGGCTGGTGCGGACGCCAGTTTGATTGATGCCTTGCCGAAGTTAGAGATCGTCTCCAGCTTCAGCGTGGGGCTGGATAAGATTGATCTCAAGAAGTGCAAGGAGAGGGGGATTCGGGTCACCAATACTCCCGATGTGTTGACTGAAGATGTGGCCGATTTGGCGATTGGGTTGATTTTAGCGGTGCTGAGGAGGTTGTGCGAGTGCGATGGATATGTCAGGAGCGGGAAGTGGAAGATTGGTGATTACAAATTGACTACCAAGGTTTTTCTGTTCTGTTATTTTCTTTATTGGCTGAATTTGGATACCATTATCATACATGTTTAAGTTGAATTATTCCGTTCATATTCTTTATTTGTTTGTGATGCCAAAACCGAAATGGTTGAATGGTCGTTAGGCTTACTTATTTCTAGATTCAATTGAGAAGTGGTGATAAATTCAAGTAGTTGAATTGTTGTTCTATGACATTTGTTGAAATGAATTGAGAAAGAGATGAAAATTTCTGGTGTTTTCCAGCATTTTAGAGGAAGTGCCTTCCGTTTGTTTTTCAGAATAATTAGAATCTTGAAAATTTAGTTAGCCATTTATGTATTTATATTCAAAGGGAAAATGTTTAGAACTTCGAAGAATTTATGATTGTATCTGATTTTTATTTGTCAATATAATCCATTTTTCTGGATATAACTCTCAGAAATATTCCCTTTGTGGAAATAAATCTGCCTTGTCTGTTATATGTATATATATCTAATCTATTTGTTATTTTATATACATTTGTTCCCAAAAGATTAGATCCGGTGATAGAGCCTTGAGTTTCTACCAAATAACGACTATCTAGGATTTGAAATTTCCTGGGAGTTTAGATTGTTAAGTGATTGTCTGTAGTATCAAACCTAAGGAATGTGAGAAGCTGTCAGAGTTTTGAGATCTTATGTTTAGCTTTTTGGGAAATCCATGGAGAAGTAGCACTTTATCTCCCGACAGTGAGCTTGAATTGGCAGTTCAACACTGCGTGACATGATTGCGCTTGAGCCTCTTATTTCTTTTTTGAGTGAAGTTCAGCTTAGTTTTTGCTAAACAAAAGCTATTCTTGAAGTAGTAACATAAGGATTTTCTTTCAAGTTCTTCAGCACTATTCTCTGTTTCGGCTAAAGCATATATAGTCAGTTGTTTCCTTGCCATTCTTGCATGTGTTATGGAAAAATATATGAAATACAAGCCATAGTCTAAACTTTCTTTAGAGGATTCTTCGGAAGTTGAACTATGGTAGCTGATGGCCCGGCAAACACCGTATTGATAAGGCATCCTGTAACAGGATAAGGCATCCTCTTGTTGTAACTATTCTTGACTTTTTGATCTATAAAAAAAGTACTGACAATGGCATTGTTATTGCTTCTCAGTTCTCTGGAAAATCAGTTGGAATTATTGGTTTGGGAAGAATTGGCATGGCAATTGCCAAGAGAGCCGAAGCATTCAGATGTCCAATATCTTACTACTCGAGAACAGAAAAGCAGGGTTCCAAGTACAAATACTATCCAAATCTTCTCAATTTGGCCTCCAACTCCGATATTCTGATTGTTGCTTGCCCGCTAACAAAAGAGACTCACCACATCATTAATCGTGAAGTTATCGACGCATTGGGTCCAAAAGGTGTTCTCATCAACATTGGGAGGGGTCCTCATGTCGATGAACCCCAATTGGTAGCTGCCCTGGTCGAAGGCCGATTAGGCGGTGCGGGGCTTGATGTGTTCGAGCATGAGCCCGAAGTGCCCCAAGAGCTCTTTGCACTCGAAAATGTCGTCCTGGTGCCTCATATAGGAAGTGGGACTGTGGAAACTCGCACAGAAATGGCTAACATTGTGCTTGGAAACCTGGAAGCTCACTTCTCCAATAAACCCCTCTTAACTCCGGTGGTGTAGCTGTGTGATTTGAGGTAATATTAGAGCGAGAATTGAGATTTCTTGCTGCCTGCTACAACCAGTAGCCATGCGGCCATTCTTTCCAGAGATTGGTAAATGCATTGGTCGAACGATTCGATTCGGTAACGACTACCCGGTGATGTTCATAACTTGAATCTTCTATGACTATTTCTGCGATCTATCCGCTGTTGGTATTGTCTAATGCCAAGATTTATCCTATCTTATCAATATGATGAAATATTTTTTAGCACTGTTGAAATGTGAAGAAATCTGAAGGTCTTTGAGGAAATTAACAGGTGGGCTTAATGCCATTTGATCTTTAGTTTAGGTTAGTTTATAAATTGAGCAAACAATGTTTATAAGTCTTTAAATTTTTGATTTTGTACGTATTAGGTCTTTAACTTTAAAAGTATCTAATAAGTTTGTGGATTTTTTATAATGTTTAATACGTTATGATTCAAAATTGAAAGTTCAAAAGACTTATAAACACCTTTTAAAAGTCTAGCAATCTATTAGACATAATTCTAATAAGTTGAGGGATTAAATTAAATTTACTCATTGTTTTAAGAATGGATAATTAAACTATGTTTTAGTTCGCTCCAAAATTGCTTTTTAAGAAGGAATAATGGTAGATTTAGCATAATTAAAATAAAATATTAAAGATATAGTAAAAAATATATATATAGTAAAAACTAGAGTTAATCATGCTATTAAAAAAAGAAAAGTCTGATTATGTATAATATGATCCTTACTAACGCTAAAGTAAAATAATAAAAAGTTTTAAAATACAAATATTCAAATATATCTTCAACAAATAAATTTTTATTTAAAAAAAGTTTTGAAAGCCATTTTAAAAACCAAAGCAAAATTGATTAGATTTCAAATATATATATATATAAGCTGCTGCAGTCGGTCGCCGAATTTTTACACGCTGCTCTGAAATGGAGATGGAGAAGATAGGAGTCGCAATGACGACCCCCATGTTCGATTACCTTGAACAACAGCTTGAACAGCGTTTCAAGCTCTTCAAACTCTGGAACCATCCCCTGAACTCCGATTACGTTCGAGAAAACGCGCATTCCATCAGAGCAGTAGTCGGCGGCACCAAGTCCGGCGCCGACGCTAATTTGATACACTCCTTGCCTGCGTTGGAAATCGTTGCGAGCTTCAGCGTTGGTCTGGACAAGATTGATTTGCCAAAATGCCAGGAGAAGGGGATAAGGGTTACCAATACGCCCGACGTATTGACTGACGACGTCGCAGATGCCGCGATTGGACTTGCCATGGCGGTTTCGAGGAGGATTTGTGAGTCTGATCGGTTTGTCCGAAGTGGATCGTGGAAGGAAGGCGGTTTCCGATTGGCGACGAAGGTATGCTGCTTTCATTGCATTACTTTGTGCATTCCGCGCTATCTCTTACCTTAATTTGACTATGGTGAATCCTTGATGATATTGCTTGTTACGATTAAGCTCGACTGCGGGGGGAGGAACCTTAGATACTAGATTGCAGAATGTTTCTGTTAGATTCCATAGATATTAGATTGCAGAATGTTTCTGTTAGATTCCAGATATTTTCATTCATTCGATCTTGATGAACCGCCAAGATTACACTCTATCGCGATCCGACTTCATATCATTTTTCTCATCCTACTCTCTAAACCTTGGGACCAGAAGTATAGTCGAGTTTGAAGATTATAGAATTTTCCCTTACTATGAACTATGGCGAATCTATATTTCTTGGTTTGGTTGATTGACGCAGTAGTTGTTTCTTTCAGTTCAGTGGTAAATCAGTTGGAATTTTGGGGTTAGGAAGGATTGGTTCAGCCATTGCCAAGAGAGTTGAAGCATTTGGTTGCCCCATCAGTTATTGCTCTAGGAATGAAAAGCATCACAGTGGTTACAATTACAAATACTTTTCCAATGCCATAGACTTGGCTGCAAATTCCCAGATTTTGTTTGTGGCATGCACTTTGACTGAAGAAACTAAGCACATTGTCAATCGAGAAGTAATTGATGCACTGGGGCCAAATGGCATTGTTATCAACGTTGGACGAGGTGCTCATGTCAATGAATCTGAGCTTGTCTCAGCATTACTTGAAGGTCGTTTGGCAGGGGCAGGACTCGATGTATTTGAAAACGAGCCCCATGTACCTGAACAGTTGTTTGAGCTTGAAAAAGTAGTTCTTCTGCCTCACGTGGGAACTGATACCATGGAGACCAGCACCGCAATGGCAGACCTTGTAATTAGAAACTTGGAGGCACATTTCAGGAATGAGCCTCTGATTACTCCTGTGATTTGATTTCTTTATACTTTTAAAAATGTCCTGGTAGTCATCGAAACATTTGAGCTAGGGTGTTAATTTAATATTATTATTGTTTTATATGGTTCTCTTGTTTCCCAGAAAGTTTGTTGTTTACACAAGCTTTATGTGGTGAAGGAAAACCATTTCCATTTCTCACTGAAGCTGGCTCCTTCTTCATCAGTAGATTTGTTAGGGATCTGATTTAATAATATGACTCCAATTGAAAAGTTTTGGATATTTTCTGACCATTTCATAAACCAGGAGGATGCTTGTAATTGATTTTCTTTTCCCAGAAAATAGAAATTGAAGAAAAGGGGCAATGAAAATACTTGAGAAGGATTGATAACTGTCTCCCAGGATTTCAAATATTTACAGAGTATACCCACAAAAGCATCTAAAGCTTTTTGAACATAAACATCCAAACAATTCCATATTGTCATTTGGACACTTCCTACCATCTCCCTTATGTTTCTTCAATTCGATCTTTTCCTTTCCTATGAACTGGCACCAAACAAGGACAAAAGAACTTTCCAATTGTCTATCAATCCCTCCCAAAACCCTCCACACCCTTCAAGATTCTCCTATTTCTCTTTAACAAGAT